GAGAGAGAGAGAGAGAGAGAGAGAGAGAGAGAGAGAGAGAGAGGAAGAAAAACGAGAATGAACTGGAAAATGGACGGGTGATGGAGAACTGGTTTCGAGGATTCTTCGAAAACGCTTTGGATAACTCTCTCTGGCTCGAGTCGGATAAAGAATGGACGCAGGTCTTGTTCTTGAGGGGATTCTTCTGCGTCGCGTCGTCATTGTGATTCCTGACGAATCGGGAGAGGAGAGAGGACAGTTTCTTTTGTCTTCTCACGAAAGCGTTGTCTCTTCCTCACATTCGGTTGGAAGAATAGAATCTGTTTCCGTATCTAAAATTTGTACAATTTTAGAACGAAATTGGAACGCATTAAAAACGATCGAAACGGATTTTTCAAAATCTCGAACGAAAATTCCTCGATCTTGATTCGATTTGTTTTCGCATTTTGCATTGTTTTCTTTCTATCATTTTCTATTCTATTCGAACGTCGTTATATATATATATATATCGGATCTTCGAATTACAGGTACGACTTTTTCTATTTCCGGGTTCGAACACGCCACGCTTCTTCAAAAACCCGCTCGAATTTTGAGTAAGGGGAACAACACCGTCGGTTGAGATGGATAGATAGATCCGGTTCGGCCGGATGTCGAGATGATGGTTTCCTAGTCGTTGTTTGTCCTCAAGAGGGAGTCAATAATATCGAGGCAATTATCTCTAACCGAGTCGAAAAGAGAACGAGGTTTATACACATAAACCGTTTTCCTCCTCTATAAATGATACTTTCCTCTTTACATCCCTCTCTCCTTCTACTCGAACCGGAAATCGCAAATAAAACCCCGGGATCTTTAAATGTTCCATTAGGGAGGATCCATTAAGAAACGGTACGGCCACTTTCCGCGTTATTGTCGTCTAAATTATTTCAATCTGGGTCGAACTGGGTGGAGGAAGACGAAATTTTTTTTTTTTGTTTTCTTTTTTTACATTTCGAAATTTGGGAGAGAGCGTACGTAGGTATGGGAATCCAGTGTGCGTCGATTTTTAATATTTGTATATAGAAAAAAAGAAAAGAGAAATTTAAAGAACATTGTCTATATAATTCCATTGGAGAAAATAATGTGTATACGATGAATCTATCGTTTTAAAAATTTAGAAAATAAGATTTAAAATCCTTTAATATTCGTAACAAAAAAAAAAAAAAAAAAAATAATTTAAATAACAGGGAAAAGAAATAAATAATATACGAAGAATCTATTATTAGTTTTAAAAATTTAGAAAATAAAATTTAAAATCCTTTTTAATATTCGTAACAGAAAAAAAAAAAATAATTTAAATAACAGGGAAAAGAAATAAATAATATACGAA